GGACTTTGCAAAGAAGCTTGCTCTAGAGGCCAACCTGAGAGGCCACTGTGGCATCTACAGAACACTCAAAGCCCCTGATGCTGCGCATGTCAGGCCTTTCAGGAACATTCCAGCGCAAGACCGGCAAAGGTTTCGAGAAAAGCAGTGGTATGGACAATGGGAAGTCATTGACAAGCCGGTCCACAGCGCGGAGAGAGAAAGATTGAGATGGGAAGCAATGCAACAGGCCAGAAGGTGGGAAGATCTGGACCCACATGAAGTCATGAAACGACTGTGGAAGTTTCCACAAAAAGCATGTGGCCCTGACGGCATCAGCTGCGCTCTGCTGAAGAACCTGCCAATAGAAGGTGTCGCTGCCCTATGTAACATGCTTCGAAGCTGGGATCTTGCAGGCAGGCTGCCGCTGTTGCTGCCAAAGAACGAAGATATTGAGAGGCCCATCTCCTTGACGAGTGTGCTCTACCGAACGTGGTGCAAACTTTGGTGGAATAAGCTGCATCATTGGCAAAGCAGCGTCGGACAGAGACTGCCTTGGGAACGCAGTCTGCCTGGCGACTGCTCAAGTGCGAGGTTGGCCGTGCAGTGGGCAGGCATGTGGTCAGCCTACTGATCGACCTGCAGTGCTTTTATGGTTCTGTTGAATTGGATCAGCTATTGCACCTTTGGGAACCACTTGATTTCCCAGCTGTCCATGCCAACTTCCTGTACGAAGTGTACAGTGGACCACGCATGTTGCAGGCAGAGCAAGTCACCAGCAGTGCAGTGGCATTCTGGCAGGTTGCCCCATGGCCCCGTTAGTTGCCAAGCTTGTGTTGGCCCCGGTCATTGAAGACTTTGTTCGGCTTCATCCCAGATCCTCTGTTGATGTGTGGGTGGATGACATTTCAGTCGACTTTGCTGGCCAAGACGCACATGCGGTCTGTGCTGAAGCCCTGGCAGGGTATGAAGAGCTGAAGCAGGGTTTAGAGGCTGTTGGACTGAAGCTGTCAGTGGGCAAGGCTGGATTCCTCACTTCAACGAGTGAGTGCAAGCGCCGCCTGAACATGGTCAGGGGTTCTGAACAGCCCAAGGCTCACGACCTCTTGAAGGACCTTGGCATGGATTCAAGTTGGGGGCGTCGACGTCGCATTGGCGCCCAGCAGAAACGACTGTTGAAAGGAAGAGGAAGACAAGCCAAGTTGCTCCACCTAAAGTTGAGGTCGAGGCCAGTGCGGATCAGAGTTTGGAAGACTTCGGTTCATGCAGCGGTTGGCTATGGCATTGAAGCGCAGGGCATGGCACCCCAGAGGTTACGAACCCTCAGAAGTCAACTGGCCAGGAGGCATGGTGGATTGCAGAAAGGAGGCAGCATGGACATAGTTTTTTACCAACAGGGCAAGCTGCAAGATCCTAAAGATACTGCCATTGAACGTCAGCTCAAAGCAATGCGTCAGTTGCTGAAAGCGTGGCCGGCTGCTCAGAGAGGCGAACTGGTGTCGGCATGGCGGCTCACTTGGAGGAGGCTGTCTATCATGCCACGGGCCCATAGCGTGGAGTCCTCATTTGCAGCAATCATCTGCTGCCACTCAGCTGGAAGAGGCTGTTCATGATAGCTGCACTCCCAAATGAGGTGCTTCATAGAGACCGGCGCCTGACAAAGTGGACATACAGCACGGCCTCCACTGGTGAGTGTCCGCAATGATGAGTCCAAGCATCAATGGCTGCTTTTGAAGCTCCCTTCAATTGTTTCATCACTTTGTGATACGTAGTCCAGTCAGGCCTTCTCATCATTGGGAAGCAGTGTTCAAGCTCTTGGATGCGGCGGGCTCGCTGAAGGGCCAGTTCAGCATGGAGCTGCTTCACCCCATCTCCATCAAATAGGCCTGAAGGGCAGCCATGGCCAGATTGCCCATTTGTTGGAACGGTCTCGGCCCGGCTGATGAGTGCCCATGCATGGCCATCCGACATGGCGTGGATCTAGGTCGTGAACCGGTGGGCATGCCTTCATTCTCCGACTCTTTCGAAGGATGGGCCTGTGACTCACCAAGTCGTTGAGCCAGTGAGCTGAGGCGGTCACGAAGAGATGCTGTGTCCGTTCTTGTCACAATCAAAATCGATGACACACGATCAACGGGTACAGCCGATTGACATTCGTCATGCTCATGTACCTCGTGTCCGCCTGATGCCTCAACTCCACTTCCATGACCACTGTCTTCATGCTCATGCACATGTCCGCTGACTTCTAGTCCATGTTCAGGTCCACCCGCAAGACCCACCAGAAGCCCAAACCCTTACATGTCACTATCTTAGAAGAGAGATACAACCCCAAGACAGACCCTAGTTGAGCCAGACGGTGGATTTATGCCGAGACCTGTGGTTGGAGTGGATTCTTGTGAAGTCACGGGCACTATGGCATCTGGATGGCCCACCGGACCAAGTCAGCGAATTGCCATTGGAGTCAAAGCCACTCGCAAAGATGCCAGGGTGCAGAACTATGTGGTTGCAGTCACTGTGGGCCAATGGAGGGATGGCGCACGCACGGCAGTCACTCCTGGAAAGCCTAGTGAAGCCAGAGCGTGGGTCTTTGGATGTTGGTTGGCCCTTCAAGCATTTCTGGGGCGCCATCAGGTCAACATTCCTCACCGTCAAGGGCGGGAGGCACTCCAGCAAGGGCCCAAGAGTGTGCTGGCGGCGGACTTGTGGCGCAGCATGGCAGCGGAAGAATGGACCAGGCTCAAGCCGCTTCATGTGCCGCAGAAGATGCTTAAAGGTGCTGGTGAAGACATGAGGGCTTGGATGCAGTTTGATGCAGCCCGTCAATGTGCGCAACAGAGGGCAAGCAAGCCTGATGCTTTGGTGCACGCCCTGCAGGAGGCAGACAGGTGGCATCATGAGGTGTACCTGCATGGTTGCTGCTGCTCGTATCAGTGCCCTTTTGCAGGACAAAGGCCACTACATGCGTGACAAGCTTGAGAAAGTTGAAATGGAGCACAAAATCAAGGCCCAAGCACCGAAAGGGAGAGTTGAGATCCTGCAGCGGCTCACCCAGAGGACACCGCGTGACGGCCAACACCATTGGATGGTCAAGGGCAGTGGAGTTCAATGCCAAGCATGTGGGATGAACGCCAAGGCCTGCTCCACACATACTGAGATTGAGAGAAAGGAGGCCACTATTTGTGCTGGTTTTCGCAGCAAGACCCTGACGCAGATCATGCAGGCATTGGTCGATGAAAGTGGGCAGCGGCCTGAGGAGGAGCCCGAGCATCAATGGACTCTTCGCGCCAGCGCCTTCAGGTGCTGGGCCAAAGTCCCTCCGCGACGCGGCAAGTCAGCTTTGATGACCTTGCAAGGTCAAGCGTGCTGATATGAACGTGCTCGTGAAGGCACTTTGCAGCTCCGCTGTCGGATCCACCCCAGTCACACTCTGTGGTATAGGGGTGAGTGGATTGCTTGCAGCCGTTGTGGACGCAGCACAAAGGCCCACCAAGGACCAAGGACGAGTTCAGAGTTGGCTGACCCAGACCTGTGGAGAGGCGGCAGGACAGATGAAGTTGAACTTCCAGCCCAGCTCTGACAGTTAGATCCACGACGATGGAAGCTAGAGATGGAGCGCATGCTGGTGTTTGCTTCCCCGATTTAACCCTGTCCAAGGCGAATGGTCCTTGCAGGTGCCACTTTTGCCTTGCTGGCGTGGCTGAGCTTGAAAAGAACCGAGAAAAAAGAGAGAGAGAGAGAGAGACAGCAGGGCGCGCGCTCGTGTGCTTTGGACGGCGCACTCTGAAATACGCTCCAGAAAGGCGCGTTCACAGCCCGCTTTGCAGAGAGACTGACAGAGAAAGAGAAACTTAAAGAGAGAGAGAGAGAGAGCAAGAGAGAGAGAGAGAGAGAGACAGAAAGAAAGAAAGAAAGAAAGAAAGGAAAAGAAAGGAAAGGAAAAGAAAGGAAAAGAAAGGAAAAGAAAGGAAAAGAAAGGAAAGGAAAGGAAAGGAAGAAAGAAAAGAAAAGAAAAGAACAGAAAAGAACAGAAAAGTGAAGAAAAGAAAGAAAGAAAGAAAGAAAGAAAAGAAGGAAAGGAAAGGAACGGAAAGGAAAGGAACGGAAAGGAAAGGAAAGGAAAGGAAGAAAGAAAGAAAGACAGAAAGAAAGAAAGAAAGAAAGAAAGACAGAAAGAGAGCAGGGCGAACGCGCGCACGCTCGTGTGCGACGGTGCGCGCTCACGCGCCAGAAAGGCGCGCTCAGAGCGCGCTGTGCAGAGAGAAAGACAGAGAAAGAAACGCTTAATGAGCGAGAGAGGGAGAGAGAGAGACAGAAAGAAAGAAAGAAAGAAAGAAAGAAGGAAAGGAAAGGAAAGGAAAGGAAAGGGAAGGGAAGGGAAGGGAAGGGAAGGGAAGGAAGGAAGGAAGAAAGAAAGAAAGAAAGACAGAAAGAAAGAAAGGAAAGCAAGGCAAGAAAGGAAAGAACGGAAAGAAAGGAAAGAAAGGAAAGAAAGGAAAGAAAGGAAAGAAAGAAAGACACAGAGAGAGAGAGAGAGAGAGAGTGAGAGAGAGAGAGAGAGAGAGAGAGAAAGAGAGCAGGGCGAGCGCGCGCTCGTGTGCTATGGACGGCTTACTGGGCTCTTGCTCTTGTCCTCTGTGCTGGGCTCTGTGGCTGGGCCTTGTCCTCTTCTTGTCCTTGTCGTGGCCGGGCCCCTGAACTCTGTGGCTGGGCTGTGTGTCCGGGTCTTGTCCTCCTCTTGTCCTTGTCTTGGCTGCGCCCCTGAACTCTGTGGCTGGTCTCTGTGGCCCGGCTTGCTGGAGAGGAGCGTGGCCGAACAAATAACGATGTCAATGCCGACAAAAGTTCATTGATGAAACAGTTTGCTCTTGGGGTGAAAGTAGGGCGTACCAAGAAATCGATTTTTGACTGATATTGGTCTAAACTAAACAAATCGTTTTGAAGCTGTTTGGGGTCTATGCTTATATATTTTTTTAATGATTACAGGTTTTCGAGGCACTCTAGAATCATTGCTGCTCTCGAAGAAGGCTGGGCACTGGAGTTGGAACCGTGCACAAAATGGTTGGCAGCGGCCTCGAAACGATTCTTCACCGATTTGTTTTGAACTGACATGGGTTCAATGTGCATCGTATGGTATCGTAGTTAAGTTTCCCCAAAAATCTAGGAACCAAATGACTAGTGCGTGAGCTATCCTGCGTCCATACTAGTAGCTTAAATATGGTACTAGCTACCTAGCTACTTACCTCTAGCGACCTAGCTACTTACCTCTAGCTACCTAGCTACTAGCTACCTCTAGCTACTACCTCTTCTCGGCCTACCCTCCTTGCTGGGCTAGACAAAACAAAGAAAACAATTCCACTGCGGCGGTTCAATGTTTTGAGTTCGAGTTTATTCTGAACACTACTGTGAGTTGAGGTCGTGGCAGGCGGAGTGGCTGCGAACCAGGAAGTGAGGAAAGGCCTACAAGAGGCACTTCATTATCATTGACTGCAGTGAACACTCTTGGAAAATTTGTTTGGCTTTAAACGTCGCGCAATGAACACTTTTGCCATACTCACCCTGAAAGAACACATAGACTCCGAGGTTTCTGCCTTACCACCAAACTCATTCACTCCGTAGACCCAAGTCGAATCCACTCCGTGGAATTGTATTGGAACTCCTTTTCTTTTCGGCGGGTAGGCTAAGAGGAGGCAGCTATACTCAGCAAGTAGCTAGCTAGCAGATGCTAACAGTTAACAAGTAGCTAGCAGGCAGCTCTAGGCACCTGGACGCATGCCGCAGAAGTAGAGCTCAGGCCTCTTCAAGGAAGCTCCCCCACCTGAGGGCCGGGGTGGTGCTTTGAAGAACCTGTCGCATGATTGATTTGGTTCGTTGTTCTTTTGGGAAACTCAACATTCGTGATTGTATTTTGCACCACTCGAAGCCCACTCGCTCAATCCTTCGTGCCCGCCTTTTTGACGATTGCTGATTTAGAGATTTGGCGGCAAGCAGGTGGCTGAGGAGTACAGCTTGCAGATGCGTTGCCCACCACCGCGGTTCAAGTCTCGGCTACCACAACTCAGCTGGTTCTGCTTTGAGGGTTGGAGCATCAAGGACAGCAGAGTAGCAATTGTTTTGCCTGCAGACACGTTAATTTGTTTCACAGGCACATAAATTAGGAAGGCTCAGCGAGGTTGCGAACGCTTGTTCCGTGTTTGTCAACACCAGCTCTCGTATTCTCAGGCTTTGTGTGGACAACGGTGTCATGGTCGCACTGAGCTAAGTGACTGATGCATCAGACTGAGGTGTTCGGTGCTCGGATTTTGTTTCTATTTTTCCACGGATTGTTTCAGGCCTGGGCTGGCATAGAGCGTTTGGTCTTAGGGCTTTACGAGGACCTTTGTGCTGAAAACTGGTCAGAAGTATTTCAAGTCGTTTGGCTTGATTCAGACACGATGATTTGCAGCAGGAACCTCCTTCAAAAGACGGCACTGCTCTTGGGAAGTTTGACAGTTTGCAGTTGACCGCACATTTAGGGCAGATAGCCGCACTATGCACACATCAGGAGCAGACAATCACGTAGAGATACGGCCACGCTGGCCGCTCGGTGAAAGAGACCCGCCGCGAGCTTACTCCAATCACAATGTTGTGAGACGAAGCCTGATAGCTTGAGCTTGGATTGACTGTTCTCAGGCGCAGCCAGCAGGAAAAGTTTCCTAAAGGCCTCCACCGTAGTTTTTGACATGCCAAAACACAGTGGAAAGAGTCTCACAGGCCAGAAGCGTAAAGCTGATCATCTCAAAGGCCACAATGACAAGGTCAGCTTTGCAACAGAGAGTAGATATCGTGACAGCAGCTTTGGTTGTACAGTACTTCGATACACTTGTTCTTTTTTCCATTCAGTACTTTTTGATACTTTTTGCATTCTTTCCACACGCTGAATTTGCAGGCCCAAAGACAAGAGGTCGAGTCAGTTGGCTGATGCAGCTTCGTTGTAGCATGCTGAGCACAGGGAGAATCGATAGTGACAAACTAAAGGTCGATCTCGATTGCGAGTTGCATTGTGCCGTTCTGTGGGCTCTTTTTTGTTTGCTTTGTCCAGGTGTCTTTCTCCTTGATTCGTTTGGTTCTTGGTGCACTTTACACTTCCTTTGCATCCCAGCTTGTCGCAAGACTCGTAAGATACCTTACTCCTCCTTCTTTGAAGTCTTCATGTACAAGTGGGAAGGGTCATGCTTATTGCATATTTGTTTTCGTCCAACAGTTAAAGATACAACAACAAAGATCACGGTGGCTGTGGCCAAGGAAACAACATCTAAGATGGTTTAACAGTTTAACAGATGTTGTAGCCATGAATGTGACCCTTGATGAGTCTTCCAGCGGATCCGATCCTTGATCCTACAACCTGATACCAAGAGCATCCAAGAGCTGCCTTTGTAGGTGGCATCTCCTGACCAGCTGCAGATCTGAGGCTTCGCCACCAGCGAGCTCGACAAGGTTGCAAAGAAGCGCGGAGGGGGGGGGCGGGGTGGCCAAGAAATCAAAGCAGCAAATATTTTTTCAACGCCTATATACGTAAACATGTAAAAGTTAACACTCAAGTCTGGAAGTGTGCATGTCCCATATGGCTGAACTGGCCCTCACCTAACTAGTTTGTGTGTGTGCTAGTGCGAGATGCTCGCCTAGCAAATGACTGAACATGCAGATCATGTGTGCAGAATGATCCTGGATCGTGATGAGGTCGACACCAGAGTGTTGTAGCGCCTCCACTAAGCCGCAGAAATGCTCCGAAAAGCGGTGATTGGCAAAGGTTCTTCGGGATGGACATGGATCGTACGGATCAGAGTCAGTTGCAGGCAGCAGAACAGACGGTTCCTGCCTCAACCAAGAAGAGGACCGGACCGGTCACCCTGAACAGGGATACAATGGAGCGAGATACGAAGTGCTCACAATTTTGTAAGGCACCTCGTTTTCGTAAGAGATGTGTTCCTCTTGCGGGAATGATGTTGGAAGAGGTGCCCCGAACGGCGCTCTTTTGGTGGAATGACCTTGGACAAGTACTAGTAGTTGTAGCATAGTAGCAGTGTCAGTGGTAGTTGCCGTCATCGTTATCCTTGCTATCATGGAAAGAAGGCAGATAACTTTTGTAAGCACATCAGAGACTTTCACGAGGGTAGGCAGCCGTTGTACAGAATTCATGTCAAGTGCTTTTTGACGGTGGTCACGACGTTCCCATCAGCACCATCGCAGCTTAAGTTTCCCGAAAAATCTAGAAACCAAATGAATAGTGCGAGCGCTGTTGAAGAAGCGCGAGCTATCCTGCGTCCAGTTGGTAGTAGCTCTTTAAACTACTAGCGTCTCCGCTACCTCTAGCTACTACCTGCCTTACGGCCTACCCCCCCCCAAAACAGAACAATATATACATAATATAAAGTACAACAATATAGTAACCAGTATAATATAATATAATATATAGTAAAAAGACTGTATATATATATATTATAGATATAAACCAATTTTGTTTAGCCGGCATTGCGTGAAGTGCATTGTGGGATGCCTCGGTTGGCACTTTCCGAAAGCCGGAGGTAAGGCCTGAAGTCTTGGACCGTTTTGTGCTTGTCTCGGCCCTACGGCATAAACTCTTTGTAAAGGGGTGCAGGCTGTGAAGGCCTAAGAATCAAGTAGCTGGTAAGCTTGCAAAGCTACTAGCTTCTTGAAGCACCCCTCGCATGATCGATTTGGCTTATAGAGTTTTAGAGATTTATGTTTATCAATCTATATATTTTTTTGATTTATCTTTGTTTCTATTTATTTCAAATTTTTGAAGGGGGTAGGCCGCTAGAAGAGGTACACTAAGTATATAAATAAGGGCTAAATAAACAAACTGCTAGGCAACCTGCTACTAGCTTGGATGCAGGATAGCTCACGCTTCTTCAAGGAAGCCTTGAAGCGCTCGCACTATTCATTTGGTTCCTAGCGTTTTAGGAAAACTACATACTCTCTTTTGTAAGCAACTACTTACTGGTTCCCCGTCTGCTGTATTTTGCGGCTCAAAGTTGAGACGGATCACCACAAAGAACACGGAGTGGGCCTGCAGCGCCATTTTCCGCCGAAGGCGGCGGCTGAAGATTTCGATTGAAGTGTTCCTGTTTCAATTAGGGGTCCAAGACAGTAGAGCTCTCTCTCTCTCTCTGTCTCTTGGTCTCTCTGTCTCTCGGTTTGTCGTAGGGTCAAAGCATATGTTTTTGCATTAGCATTTGGCCGCGTCCCAGTTTGTGTTGCCAGGTCGCTCAAGGCGGCATGACGGGTGCGGCTGTGGTTGCGGTGGGTCCCGGCTTCAGCATTTTTCCTCACACCAAGATACGAGAGCATACCACATGAGACGTGGCCTAGCTTAGGCCGGCCAGTGATTGTGTCACCAGAGACGCAGGCCGGACATGTAAGCCATCACAAACCTCGTACATCTCTACATGTGTCCAACGAGGGGAGTGTCATTGTGACCCTGACTTACCTTCAATCTCCATGAGGTGGTGAAACTCGGTGAATCACCGAAGGCCCGAACCCAGTCAGCCTTTGCGAAAGCCATTGAACAAGGAACTTGTTGGCTGGATTGTTCCGCCTCCATTCTGCACTGTGATCTGCTCCATTTGTCAGGGAGTGGATCTTGGAGATGCGAGGAAACCTGGTTCTTCATCCACAGGAGCGTCAGCAAGAGAGGGCAATGAATTCCGTCAAGTTGTCCAGTAATTAGTGTGGTGGTTGTGCACCCGCACCTAGGTGCCCTCGGCAGTAGAGGTGCAGGGCAAGGCAAGGCACAATGTTAGTTGAAGCTTGGATCATCTGGATTGAGATCACATGAGAACAAAACAAGCTTGAAGCACTGACTCAAACTACTTTACCCAGCAGGCGGCGCCTCCAGAGCAGCCTGTAGCAGCCAAGCCAGAGGCGGGAAGCGGAAGCCGTGTGAAGGACAAACAAGTTAACATCATAAATAGGACCTGTACAGTGGTGGGTAGTTAGCACAGGGCGGAGTTTTTCCGGAATGCGCAGCGAAGGGTTCCCGTTTATAGTCTGGGGGTCTGGAGGCTGGACCTGTGTTTGCGTCATGTGTCTCGTCGGGTCGGCGGGTCGTCGCCTCGTCGCCGCCTCGTCGTGAATTCCCTGACAGTGAGGGAATCTTTTGGAGGTTTTGGATGGAACCATGACGTGTCAGATTTGTGTGAAATAGCGTGGAAACGTATGGAAGTGTGGAGGATAATTTTGCTGCGCAGGTGCAGCGCTTTGTGAAATCCTCAGTTTCCTTCGCTGTGAGAGTGGGATTGGCGTTTAGAGTTTAGAGTTTAGAGGGTGGTATGCTTGAGGTGTTAGATGTCGCTGTGACCGTGGAATTTGCGTTTCAGGCTGTTGCTTCGAAGCCATGTTTTTGTGACAAGATTCATGTAAAGCTGCGACTTTGGATGTGAGTGTGTTCAGATAGTGTCGAAATCAACCTCTGACAGTGGGGGAAGCTTGTGGAGGAGGTTTTGGATGGAAGCTTTGTGCGGGAAACAGCTTCTGGGAGCTGGAGCTGGCCTCAGAACATGTAGTACTGTACGGGAAGGAGCTTCTGGGAGATGCGGCCTCAGAACTGGCCACGGAGCTGTGGCCTCAGAAGCTGGCAACTTTGTAGTGGAAATGTCTCGCCGAGCTGTGGCCTCAGCGCTAGCCACTTTGTCGTGCAAATGTAGTTCGGAAAGCAGCTTCTTGGCAGTACAAATGTAGTATGGGAGGCAGCTTCTAGTAATGCGGGAAGCGGCTTCTGGGAGCTGTGGCTCAACTGGCCACATGGTAGTGCAAATGTCGTGCGGGACGTGGCCAAATTACGTCTGTGATGTCACTGTGCCATGCAGTTTTGCGCGGCCTTGGTGGAAAGCGCGTTTGTATGAGTCCATGCTGTTGGGGGAAAGTAAGGGTGCTGGTGTAAACGCGGCGTGTCGCTGGGGAGTGGGATGATTGGCGGCGCCCACGATGCTTGGTGTTACGTGGCTGTATCTAGTCTTGCCATGTGTTGACATGATGTGTGAAATGTCGCCTGCCGTGCAGTTTTGCGTGGCCTCGGTGGAAAGCGCGTTTGCGCGGGTCCATGCCATTGGGGGACGGAAAGCTTGCTGGTGTAAACGTGCGTGTCGCTGGGGAGCAGGATGATTGGCGTTGGCAGTGCCCACGAGGCCTGGTTTTACATGGTACAGTCTGTGGCGCACCGCGTGTCCCACAAGAGTTTTCCTGAAGTGAGTGTCCCAGAGAGTGTCCCGCAAGAGTTTTCCACCGCGTGTCCACGAGAGCGAGTGTCCCAGAAGTGACAAGTGTCCTAAAACAATCCCCACAAGAGTGCCCGATAAGACATAAGAGTGTCTCGGGAGAGTGTCCCACAAGACCGTGCCGCCAGAGTGTCTTACAAGAGTGTTTTACAAGCACGTCCCGCAAGAGTGTCCCACAAGATCCCACAAGAGGGCCTGATGAGAGGGTCTCGCAAGGATGTTGCCGGAGAGTCTCCCACAAGAGTGCCCCACAAGAGTGTTCTACAAGAGTGTCCTACAATGTTGTGCCCGGGTTTTCCACAAAAGTGTCCCGCAAGAGTGTTCCACGAGAGTGTCGCGCAAGAGTGCTCAGAACGGTTTTCCACAAGAGTGTCATACAAGAGCACCCCACAAGAGCACCGCCTACAAGAGTGTTTGACAAGAGTCACAAGAGTATCTTGCAATCAATGTTTGGCCGTTTGTTTTCGAGCGTGTGTGTGTGTGTGTGCCCCTTGGAATCACAGGGATCCTGTAGGATTGTTGAGCAGGGGGACAGGGCACCGCTGGCATTTCCCGTCCAACGAAGAGGGTGCCAGTAAGTGCTGATGCAGTGGGGGACGCCCCGCTGCGTACCTGCTCTAGGTTTTAAGTTTGTGTTTGTGTCTTGTGAACCTGTAGCGCTGGCCTCAAACCTGGTGCGATGGCCTCCAACGCACTAGAACTGACCCCCTAACCTTGTTGTTTTACTGCTGCTTTTGTCAACTTGTAGGCTCCACCCTGGTACCCTGGCCTCCAACCTACTAGCGATGGCCTCCAACCTTGTTTGCGCCTAACCCGATGGCTCCTCAACCTGCTTTCGATGGCCTCCAACCTTAGAGCGATGACCTCCAACTTTTTTGCCTTGGTGCTCAGGTTTTTAAACTTAGGCTGGCGTGTGGCGCCGCATTCACATCCGTACGCATTTCTAAAAGTGTGTCTCTCCTAGTGAGAGCCCAGGGAAACCCCGAAGAGTGGCCCCTGTGGACCCGTCGAACGGGTGTTTGTCTTTATCTCCCCTGCCGGGAGATGTACGCGCCCAGAGCCCCGAGCGGGCGGAGTAGGCTTACGCCAAAGTTATTTGCCAAGACTTGCTGAAGTATTGAATTCTAAGCTGGCTTATGCCTTTACGTGACCGTAGCGGTCAAAGCTGCCAGCCATTTTGGCATGGCGTACGTGGCCGCAGCGCCCGAAGCTTGTTCAATACTTGTTGGGGTGTGTCGGGACCTCAGTCCCCTTCCTCCCCCCCTCCCCCTACCCTCCCCTTCTTCTCTCTTTGCCTTTTTGGGGTATTCCTGAATGGAACACTCAGGTATACCCCTCTCCTTGGTGTGTCCCTGGACGCTTGCGCGTAGCTGGGAACACCTTTTCTCCTTTCATTCTTTCTCTCTTTCTCTTTTTCTTTTTCTTTTTCCTTTCTACCTCTTCCTTCTTTTCTTGGGTGTCCCTGGATGCTTTCGTCATAGCTGGGAACCCTTCTCTTCTTCTCTTGGTGTGTCCTTGGTGGCTTGTGTCGTAGCTGGGAACACCTTCCTTTCTTTTCCTTTCTCCTTTTTCTTTCTTCTCTTCTCTCTGGGGGCCGTCCCGCTGCGTACCTGCTCTAGGTTTTAAGTTTGTGTTTGTGTCTTGTGAACCTGTAGCGCTGGCCTCAACCTGGTGCGATGGCCTCCAACGCACTAGAACTGACCCCTAATCTTGTTGTTTTACTGGTGCTCTTGTCAACTTGTAGCGCTGGCCTCCAACCTGGTACTCTGGCCTCCAACCTACTAGCGATGGCTTTTCCTTGATGAGAGGGCCCCCCCTGGCTCAGGTGGCTGGGTAGGGGCTGCATGTCAGAACCGGAAACAAGCTACGAAGGCATGCAGGGCGCTCAGAACACAAACAGGCGGGAGTAGACCACGTCACTCAGAGCAGTGCCCGGGCCGACCGGGCAAGCTTACTTCCAAGCTTGAGCTTTTTCTGCAGAACATTCCACGACTGCTCTGGTGCACTCCACGAGAAGCGAGCCTCGTCAACACCAAAAGGAAAATCGAACTCTGGCCACCAGCTGTAGGCCGCGGATCGAGGGCGTTTCTTGAAGTTATCAGCCACTATGGAACAAACTTGTCGTTGAGCATGAAAGCAAGGTCGATGCGACCAACCAAAGACACAAGAACCTGCACCCATCCGGTAGAGGGCACACACTCTTGAGCTGTGGACGTAGGACGGGATGACCTCTTGGTCACACAACGAAATGGTCTGGTTGACCAAATGGGCAAACTGGGTGGCACTCTCATTCCAAGTGTAGCTAAAGGCCTTTGCTGTGGTCGGACAACGGGCCCATGCAAAGGAATTTTCACTTTTCAAGCCAGTTCTACGAACAGGAACGAAGCTCTGAGCGAAAAACATAAAGCTAAGTAATAGTTCCATCCAAGAAACTCCGACCTGGGCCTCTGGTACTGCATCACAAGTCAATCCCCACCGCAGGTCATGAAGCCATTCTAGGACGCAGAGCAACAAACTTGATCCCCAATAGCTATGCGAAAAGAAAGCTCCTTGCCGAGCCTCCTCGAGAGAAAAGCTCCATGGGAGGGGAACCGACCAAGATGCAAACTTTTGGGCTACCATGCTGGCTCTGTGTTGGGGATGTGGCTCATCCGGATGGATGGACGCCGGCACAGTGGACTTAAACTCCCTGCGGTACTTTTGCAAAGCTAAGGACAGACGATAAAATTCCGAGAGTTTTTGCATTTCATCTCTACGTTCAAGAACCGACTGAACCCACGCTTGAGTCAAGGCTGGTAGTTGAGTTGTGCAAACTTCCACAGCCGCATGGTCGGCAAGGGAATTCCCTAGACTGTGATAGCATTCAAGATCCGGTAAACGATGGAGCTCAGCATGACCTTTTATTCCCGAAAGCACCTGCGAAGGGTTTTTCCTTAAGCACTGCTGCCTATTTCATCTTCCTTAATCTCTTTCTCTTACTTCATCTTCCCCACTCTCTCTTCCTTACTCTCTTTCTCTTACTTCATCTTCCCCACTCTCTCTTCCTGACTCTCTTTATCCTACTTCACCTTCCTTACTTCATATTCTTTACTAACTTTCTCCTACTTCACCCTCACAACATCATCATCTAATCATCACCTCATAGGTTATTAATCTCATATCATATCATATTATATCATATCAGGTTATAATATCAATATCATATCACATCACATCAATGTCATAACATATCATATCATATCATGTTTTAATATCATATCACATCACATCAATGTCAGATCATATCATCTCATATCATGTGATAAAATAATATCACATCACAACATAACATATGAAGTAGAAGTATCAGATCAACAATATCAAAGTACATCAGAAGTAGATATTGATAGGTAGGTATTGATAAGTGGGTATAGACAGGTAGGTGTAGGTAGGTAGGTGTAGATAGGTAGGTGAAGATAGGTAGGTGAAGATAGGTAGGTGTAGACATCTTCCTTAAGACACCTACCCAACTTCACCTACCCAACTTCTTCTTTATTCTTCTCTTTAGGCGGCGGGGCGGTGCGAGCAAGTCTTACGAAACGCAACCCTCTCGTGGAATCGTGGCCATCGATCGCGCGCGCGTGTGGTGAGACGCGAATCGCGTTTGTC